CGCCTTCCCACTGAGTCCAACTGGCCACGGGCTCTAGGGGAACTGGCGAGTTCCCCCTGGCAGGCTAACGTTGGGCATCTTTCAGGCCTTAGGTATCAGATTAACACTAACCTGGAAAAGAGGCTGAGCGCCACACAGGGGAAGAATGAGGAGGGCGCCCCCTGGTGGCAGAGCTCAGCCTCTCTTCCATGGCCGCAGCAGTTCAACTCTGGCCCCAAACTTGCATTCCGTAGTCTACAAAACAAAATCCCTGCATCTCCCCAGACTCTCCTCCTTCAAAGGCTGCTTGGGGAAGATGTCCTGTTTCTAAAGCAGTCCCATAGAGATCCTAACTTGCAGCCCCACAGAAAGCTCCCCCGAGAGGAGGGTGTAAAACACTAGTCTCACCATTCCAGGCTCTTTCCAGTGCTGTGTAGGTGCCCCAGAGAGCTACCCGACTCTTTCTTTCTACTCCGGGTGACAGAGGTATTTAGTTTAGGGGCTCACAGGGGAGACAGACACAGACATAGACAACTGTTATCAGTAGGGTGAAAGCAAAGTGGTCCCAGGATAAGAGACGAGGTACCCCTGGCCTGCCCTATTTTGTTTGTGCAGAGTAGTGGTCAGGGAAGGCTTCCCAGAAGCTCGAATCTTGGAGGAGAGCCCACCCAAGAAGGATGAGGACAGGCGTCCCAGCCAGGGGATAAAGCGCACACAGAAGGTGGCTGGCTTCATGACGGGGGCAGGGACCAGCAAGGGGTGGGAAAGGAGGACGAAAGTAGTTCAGTGTTCCTGGGACGGAAGGTGGGAGGAGGTGGGAAGAAAAGTGAGACTGGAGGGGTGGAAAGCCTTGTGAACTATCCTAAGGAATTTGTCCTTTATTCTGAGAAGGCAAGAAGGAGCCATTGAAATATGTTAAGCTGGGGAGTGACAGGATTGGATTTATCCTTCAGGAAGACCCCTCTGAGTGCTATGTGGAGGGTGGCTGGCATGGCCAGTGGGTGGAAACCGAGGGCACCGGACAGCGGGGAGGCTCGGGAGCTGGTGACCTGGATTTGATGCCATTGCTCCCCAGCTATATAACCTTGAGCAAAAGACCTAGCCTTTCTGCGACTCAGTTTCTTCCTCTTAGATAATAACACCCACTTCATAAAATGGAAATGTGAATTACGTGAGTTAACACATACGGCACTTAGAAACGGTTTACAGGTGCTCAGTGTATGTGAGCCCGTCTTGTTTTGGTGTTGTCAGGAGGGGTGAGGTGGGGAGGATGCGGCTCACGTCTGCTGCTCTCCTCCAATAACCCAGTCATGTCCCTAGGGGCTGTGTCCAACAGCTGTCTCAACCTGCTGCCAGAGAATGCCGAATATGAATATTTGTCAGCACGTCCATAATGTCTACCATGCACCAAGCATGTTCTAAGAACATCTGTTAACCCGTTTCTTCCTCATGGCCACCCTGGATGGTAGGTACCAGTATCATCCCCATTTCGCAGGTGAGGCAACTGAGCTTAGGAGAGTAGATGACACTGGAACCCAGATGGCCTGGCCTCGTGGTCTGTGCTTATAACTGTTACCTGGGGCCGCCCAGTGAGCTGGACTTGGGGAGGCGCTGTGGGAAAAGAGGCCTCTTTCGGTGTGTCCACTGTCTCCTTGCTGCCCCTCTCTGAATCCACAGGTATCCCCGTCTAAGCCCAGTCAGGCGTAATAGCTTAGATTAGTGGAAAACAGATACTGACCTGACCCCACCCCAGACCCTCCATGACCTATACTTTCCAAAAAACAGACAAACAAAAAAGCTCCAAAGACAATTCTGACGCATGTCTTGTGTTTCATAACCACTGAGGACATAAAGCTTGGGGATTCCTGAAGAGGACAGACGTGGTGCGCCAGGAAATGTGTACAACAAAGTCCCAAGTGCCAGGGGAACCTGAATTTGTAGTGCCTGCCGATTTTTATAGTGTAAATACTCCCACTGTGGCCAATATCAAACTGTGAATGAGCTGTCACTGAACGCAGAGTCAGGAGGAGGTGCTGACAGTGCGCTCCCGCAAGCCAGTGCGAGCCAGCTCCAGCGCACCCTTGAGACAGACCTGGGTACAAATTCTGCGCTGCCTTCCTGACCTTGGACAGGTCACCTCGCCCCTCTGTCTGTTTCCTCTGTGAAAGGGAGTACTGTTAAATACCTGCTTGACGGGGGGTTGCGACAATCAGACGATATACTCCACGCGCAGGGCTGAGTGCCCCGCCCGTCCTCCACTCCCTGCTGAGAGAGGGGCCGTAGAGACACCCTCTGGCCAATTCAATGGGGAGCCCTCCATCTACTCAAGACCCTGCTTCCTGCTCGCCCCCAGCCCCTTCCCTATCCCAAATCCTGGCCTGGAATCAGGGTCTTATTTGTTTGGGCAAGGCTGGGACTGAACTTTCTCACCTGGGCTCAAATCTGCTCCCAGCTTCTCCCCTAAGCCCTAAAACTTCAAAGAGGAAACTAACACAGTGTCTTCCAGAAGGAGGCCAGTTGGGGGTACAGGACGAACAGAAGGAGTTTAGTGTGAATTAGGAACACCTCAGAGACCAGAGGAAAGGGCTGCTCTGCGGGCTCCAGGTCTGATCCCTCATCGTCTTTCCATGAGCCATCATCGATTTAAGTGCAGCTGGGACCCTGATGGGGCCCTGTTACTCCTGACGGCTGCAGCCATGGAGAGACAAGCACACTGGCCCCAGCATGAGATGGAGTGACTGAATTGAGGGAACCAAGAAAGAGGACAGGCCAGGGGCCAGGGTGGAAGGCAGCTGAGTGAAGGGAGAGTATGGAAAAGAAGAGACAATAGAAGAGGAGGCACTCAGACTTTAAGATTCATTTCCCCCGCTAGTGGGATGGGGCCAATCTAGACTGACAACGGATATGTTTCAAAAAGTACATGTGCAATAGCCAAGATACGGAAGCAACCGACATGTCCACGGACAGATGACTGGATAAAGAAGTTGTGGTTATTTATACAATGGAACACTACTCAGCCATAAAAAAGAATGAACTACTGCCATTTGCAGCAACATGCATGGACCTGGAGATTGTCATACTAAGTGAAGTAAATCAAACAGAGAAAGACGAAAATATGATATCACTTATCTGTGGATTCTAAAAGAATGTCACAAATGAAACTTATTTACAAAACAGAAAGAGACTCACAGACATAGAAAACAAACTTATGGTTGCCAAAGGGGGAGGGTGAGAGGGATAAATTAGGAGTTTGGGATTTGCAGATATTAAGTACTATGTATAAAATAGATAAATAACAAGATCCTACTGTTTAGCACAGGGAACTATATTCAATATCTTGTAATAATTATGATGATAAAGAATATTAAAAAGAATATACATATGTATAACTGAATCAATATGCTGTACACCAGAAACTAACACAGCATGTAAATTGATTATACTTCAATAAAATAAAAAAATAAAAGTAACATAACTGTTATGCAAATATAGAATGAATATGTCAGAGGTGTATCCAACTCTTGAACAAAGGAACCAGAAGGATGACAAGGCTGGTTCAAAGAGCATTTGAAAGATTGAGTATTTGTAGGTATTTGGTGGGGCGGGGGGAACAGAGAACGAGACAGCTGGGTAAGATACAAAATGGATTAATGTCCTACAGGGCAATAAAATCACCACCTTGAGGATTATCTTTTCTACAGGCAGAAATCTATGCATTAACCCAGAGTCTGAGCCTTTAACCGGTAGCTAACAGTGAAGTCAAATCTCAGTGCTGTCTCGCAGAGACTTACACAGTCCTGGGAGGGCCTGGTAAGTGATGTCGTTGTGTGACATTAAAAGGACATGCTGTTCTCTGTCTGCCTTATTTCCAAGTTTGGGTAGTTTTGCTTAATAGGATGGAGCTCTGCCCTGCTCCTCACACTGCTGCTCTTCACCTCCTGCCATCTCTTTTTAGCTTAGCACCTGGCTTCTCCCTCTGCACCCAACCCCCCTCTTTCCCTTTGCCTCCTTCCCTCACCAGCTCACCTTGCCCCAGAGCTGGAGCTGGAGGGAGGGGCTGAAGCTGGGCGGCCCCCATGCATTCAGGCCTGTCTTCCTGGCTTTTAGAACCAGGCCTGCCCATTGCACCAGACTGGACGTGACCTGGCCCACAGAGAGACAGGCTGACCACTCTTAGGAAGCAGGAGTGAGGGGGCCTGGCTGGTGATCTGGGGGAGAGGGGAGAGAGGAGGTCAGCTGTACTCCTTCAGTTCCAGGAGAAGAGACTATTTTAATTGTTTTAATTGAAGTTTAGTTGATTTACAATGATGTCATAGTTTCTGGTGTACAGCAGAGTGATTCGGTGATGTATTTTTATCCATACATCTATTATTTTTCAGATTCTTTTCCATTATAGGTTATTACAAGATACTGAATATAGTTCCCTGTGCTGGACAGTAGGTCCTTGTTCATCTGTGTTATATACAGTAGTGTATACCTGTTAATTCCAAACTCCTAATTTATCCCTCTCCCATCTTTCTCCTTTGATAACCATAAGTTTGGACTATTTCAAAATAACTCTCTTAGGAAAGATAAAACACTCCCTTTAGCCTCCCTCTGGGTAACTTGGAGATGCCCAGACCCGGCACCCTTCGTCTTCCCAAAGTGGGCTTCCCCGATCAGAGGAAATGAAGGTCATGACCATTATCAAGCTCCTTTGATGTTCCAGGCTGGGCATTTTATGTGAACTGCTTCACTGGGTCCTACAAAAGAGGTTCGATCCCCATTTTGTAGATGAAGAAACAGGCTGAACAACCTGTCTGAGGTCAGGCAGTGAGTACGTGGAGTCAGCCACCAGGCAGACGGGTCAGGTCGACTCCGAGCGCAGCGCTCCCGTGGTTGCTCCAGCCTGCTGAGCCTCACCTCCCAGGGCTCTGCAGGGAGCAGCAGCCACCCTGGGGCCCCCCGGGAGGGAGGGCGGGAGGTGGGGCTGGAGCTCACAGCCGGCCACGCCTTTATTTACTGAAGCTCTCTCTGTCAAGGATCTTTATGCGTTAGACCTGGAGCCCTACCGCTACTCAGGGGTGAACCTGACTGGGTTCCGGATCCTCAACGTGGACAACCCCCACGTCTCGGCCATCGTGGAGAAGTGGTCCATGGAGCGGCTGCAGGCGGCTCCCCGGGCAGAGTCCGGCCTACTGGATGGAGTGATGATGGTATCGCTACAGGGGAGGGCCGGGGGTGGGGGCAGACCTGGGAGCTCCCCTCCTTCCTTCCCTTTCTTCCTTGTAGCCTTCCAGCCTTCTTCCTTCCTTCCATCCTCCTACCCATCTTTTCTTCCTCCCTCCCTGTCTTCTTCCTTCTCTCTTTCTTTTCTTCCTTCTTTCCTTTCTTCCTCTCTTCCTTCCTTCTCTGCTTCCCCCCTATTTCTTTTTTCCCTCCCACCACCTCCCTTCCTAAGACCTGCCATGTGTCTACCAGACCTTAGGCCAGGGGCCAGGGACACAAAGGAATCAACACAGTCCCTCCCAAGTGTGGGAGTACAGGCACGTAAACAGGTGGTTATAGAGAGCAGGGATCAGGACCAGTGGGCCCTGGGCACGGAGGACTTCCAGCTGTGGCCGCAGGAGGCCGGGGAGGCCGGAAGGAGAAGGCAGCAGCAGGGACAGCAGGGTTGGGTGGAGGGACTGGCAGGAGAAGGTCTGAGCTGCAGAGGGTGGGAGTCTAGTGTCTGCAGAGCTGCAGAGACAGCCCAAGCCTAGCCCCTCACAGGGGCAGGGACAGGGTCACCTCCAGGGCCTCAGGGCCTTCTCCTTACAAGCACCCCTGTTCCAGAGGCAGGAGGGGAAGGGGGTCAGGGCCAGGTGGGCCAAGCTCTTGGGGGCTGAGCCACTCTCAGGCAGCCCTGGGCCCCCCTCCAGACTGACGCGGCCTTGCTGTACGACGCCGTCCACATCGTGTCCGTGTGCTACCAGCGCGCCCCCCAGATGACCGTGAACTCCCTGCAGTGCCATCGGCACAAGGCCTGGCGCTTTGGCGGCCGCTTCATGAACTTCATCAAGGAGGTGAGTGCCCCCTGCATCCCCGACCAGGGCCGTCTCCTGGGGGCCTTGGATGCCACAGAGCCACAGGGCAGTCAAAGGGCCCAGTTTGGGAGTCAGACAGTGTTGATTTCCAATCCACGTGAACTTGGGCCTGTTCCCTCACATCTCTGAGCCTGTTTCCTCCGGTGAAAATGGACTCAGTAGGACCAATCTTGCTGGGTGACTGAGAGGCTGAGTCCTTGGCACTTAGAAGGATCTCAGCAGGTGGTCGGCATTGTCAGCAGGACGCAGCCCTGGCTTTAAGGTACAACAGATGCAAGTCTTGGCCTCCAGCTGTGTGACCTCAGGCAAGCTAGAGAACCTTGCTCGGCCTTGGTTGCCTCATCTATAAATGGGGTACGAAGTGCACCCACCTTATGGGGATGCTGTGAAGGCGACGTGTGACACCATGTGGACAGTGCTTAGTGTGGGGGTGGGGTGATGCAGAGGGGGCTCAGTAAATAATAACCAGCCCCACAAACTCCTCTTCATGTTGTGGGCCCATCGGCCAACTTCCCAGCCAGGGTCCCCACTGGGACCCAACTCTTAGGCACCATGGCAGCCATGAAGAAGTCCCATCCATGGAGCTGATTCAGAGCAACCAGAGAGATGAACCTGTCCTGCTGCCAGAGGATGACCACAGAAACACACAGTGCCAAGTTTTAATTTCAGACTCTCCAACACTGTTGTCCTCATGGATGGCAGAGTATACTGTTCCCATTTTACAGATGGGGATGCTGAGGCCTGGGCTTGTACCCAGGCTCCATCAGAACGAGCTGTGTGACTTTGGGTGAGAGGATTCACTCTTTGATCCTCAGTTTCCTCAACCATAAAATGAGTATAGTAAGAGTTCTTGCCTCAAAGCGTTAAAAAGACCATGTTGAAAAACTATGTGCAAAGCAGGTAGCCCAAGGCTGGACAGAGTCAAGTCCCAGTAATGGCAGGGGAGGAAGGCTCAGGGGGACGAGATCTAGGCGGGGCTGCCCTGGCTCAGAGCAGGTGACCTGTCCAGGGCAACACCAAGTGCAGCCAGGGGAAGCCCTCTAGGGAGGCTCCGTGTAGACCATCCCTTTGTAGCCATCACAGTGGACCAGGAATGAAGCAGCCTGCCTTGGGACTTCATTCATTTATTCGGTAGCTATTTGTGCAGGCCTGCTGAGGGCCAGGCACTGAGCCATCCCTGGGGATCCAGTGAGGCTGGAACAAATGGGCCCCTGCATGCACAGAGCTCACTACCTAGGAAGACGTCCATCAAGTCATTCCATTAATGAACGTAACCCCATATGCAGAGGAAGGCAGCACAGTGAGGACAGATAACAAAGAAACCCATCACCTTACACGCAGCAGACAGGGCAGCTTCCCCAGAGGCCCCCAGTTCACCATTACTGCTTGGGATGAGGCCAATGACAGCCTCTGTATCTTAGGATGACACTAAAAGGCATGTGGATAAAACATAGGCTTTAGAGTTTGATGCACACGCCTTTGGGCTTGTCTCTGCCTCTTCCCAGCTGTGCGGCTGTAGACAAATTCCTGGACAGTCGCGCTTGTCAGTTTCCTCACTTGGCAAACAGCATCTCGTAGTCACTGTGAGGGAGCAGTTAAGTCCTTAGCAGCAGTTCCCTCTGCCCAAGAAGGGACTCCAGTATCAGCTGTTTTGGGATAAGTGGATCATGAGGGTCCCTTCACATTCAACCCCTTAAAACTACAGAGGAAGTCCGATTATCCAATGCCCTGAGCAAGGCCTGGCTGGCCTGGGTGATCATCGACTTTTCTCTGGGAACTCTGAGGCCTGACTCCCAGCCCCCGAGCCTCCTTCTTCAGCAAGCCTCCAGCCCAGTAACCAGAGCTGGCGGAAGTTTCTCAGTGTTCAAGGCCACAACCCTGGGACCCTTAGGAGCCAGACAAAAGTGGCTTTGAAGTTTAACCACTTTTCAGCTGTGTGGCCTTGGACAAGTTACTGAATCTCTCTGTGCCTCAGGTCTTCCTGTACAATGGAGATAATACCGAGGTGACTGTAGGATTAAGTGAGTTAGGGTGTGTGAAGCACTTAGAGCAATGCCCAGCACAGAGCAGGTGCTGAACTGATTGGCTGCTGTTATTATTACTTCTATCATCACATCCGTCATCCCTGTGGCATCTTGCTCCCTGGTGGGCTTTCCAGCTAAAGAGGATCTCCAGGCCACAGAGCTTCAGGGACCCCCACTCATTCACCCCTGACCCCTTGGAGTGCTTGAGGCTCCATCCTGAAGCCCATGAAAAAGATTTGTCACTGCCTATGCCACAGATAGGGGAGCCCCCTTCTCCTACCAGGGGGCTGACCGCCCACGCTGGTGTACCTGGTCTCCCTGTTTCCCCGCCCCTAGCCCAATGAACAGCCCTCTGTACTCACTCTCCTTTACAGAGTCCTTTCTGACACATCTTCATCTCACCTCCATTTTAGGGAGGTGGAGATCAAGGCCCAGAGCAGCCCCTGGCTCCCCCAGGGTACCACAGCTGGCCCAGATCAGGACCAGGTGCCCTGCCTGAGCCCAGCACACTATCTTCCTCCAGACCATTTCCAGCTTGCCCGTCTCCCCATCTGACTGCGTGACAGTAAATCATTTTAAAGACTTGGCATTTCCGAGAGGAGCTGGAAAATACCAGGCCGGAGTTCAGAGCATGTGAAGCATCTTTCATTTAGAGAGTCCTGAGCGGCAGCTGGAAGGGGCAGGAGGGCTGGGAAATGTCACCTGGGAGGAGCTGCCAGCGGCTCCCTGCCCTGGCCCTGCCCCTGCCCGCCCGCCCGCAGACAGGCTGTGCACCTGCTGGCATTTAATTCCTCTGGAGCTGACGAGGAGGAAGGCTTTCCTCCTTCCCTCTGAGGGCAGGTTTGAGGGCGCCTGCTGTGATATTCCGTGGGGGCTGGGAGTGAGCCCAAGGGGTGGAGCCCCAGGCAGAGGGGAGAGGAGGCAAGGGACTGAGGAGTCAGCCTCAGGGAAGACATCACCTTCTCTGATGTATTTTGCTTTAATTTTTTTTTAATGGAGGTATACTTGAGATTGAACCAGGACCTCGTGCTTGCTAAGCATGTGTTATATAGCACTGAGCCATACCCACCCCCTGCATTTCTTTAATTGAGGTAAAACAGTGTATCACATTATCTAAGTTTACAGGTGGACAACATTATAATTCTACATCTGTATACATTACAAAGTGATCACCACTCAAGGTCTAGTTACCATCCATCACCATACAGCTGACCCCTCCACCCTTTACCCTCCCTTCCCCAATCCCCTTCTGGCTGGTACCCAGCACCCTCTTTTCTATCTCTGAGTCTGATGTATCTTTAAATCTGTGTTCCCAACCCCCATCTCCAGCTCCCTGGGCTCCAAAAAATGTCCCCACTCAACGTGGGCAGGATGACCCCAGCTTTGCAGCTCCACTCAGCACAGAGGGGATCTGCCCGGCACCATCATTACCTAGATCTGCAGAGCTCAGTCCCTCTTTGAGCCTCAGTGGCTGTGACTGTAAAATGGGGGCAATCACAACACCCACCTGGCAGGACTGTGATGAGAACTGGAGGAGCTGACGCAGGGGAGCTGATCATGGATTGGCTTCCTGTGAGAGGGGTTCCACTGATGCCTCAGGCTGTGGCCCACGTGACCATCTCTCCCCACTGCCCAGCCAACGGCTGGCCCTCATCCATGAAGCCCCACGGAAGGAAGCAACAAAGTGAAAAAATACTGGTCGGGATTGTGTATGCCAGACACTGCGCTAAGCACTTCATACACGTTTGTTAACACCTGGGAAATAGGTCATTTTCCCCCTCTGGAAGCTCAGAGAGGTTGGATTCTCTTATGCAAAGCCCCCATTCCATCCACTTTTGATTCCCAGCCTCTGGGAGCCCTCGGAGGCGCGCCCCTCTGCCTGAGCTGGTACACCACGCGCCTGTCTGCACACCTGTCCGCAGGACTTGGCAGTGCTGCATGGCTGCCCTGGTGCTCAGAGAGTCCCGTGGGTTTCATTTGGGGTCTGCAGATAGGCCTCTAGGGATCCAGGCACCTGTGTGTCATATTGTGAGTGTAAGCCTGGGTGTTGGGGGACCTTCAGGCACAGAGTGGCTCTGGAACCTTCTTTAGAATCTGCAGGGGTCATGACCCCAGTGGGGATGAGGAACCCACCTCCCAAAGCTGCTGTGAAGTTTGCATGAGGCGAGCAGCGTGAAGCACCTGGCAGCACGAATGCTCTCGGTCCCCAGGAAAGGTATTATCTAGAGCGGGAGTCGGCTGACTTTTCCTGTGAAAAGGGCCAGACAGTAAATATTTTGGGCTTTGCACACCAGATAGTCTCTATTGCAACTACCCAGCTCTGAGGTTGTGGCACAAAAGCAGCCACAGACAACAGGTAGACGCCTGGACGTGACTAGGATCTCATAAACTGTTTACAAAAACAGGCAAGGGGCCCATGTGGGCCGCCAGCCGTGGTTTGCCAACCCCTGCTTTAGGCGACAGAGCCCTTCTCAGTTTGGGTCCTGTACCGTCTCTGAGCCTCTGCCTGTGTTCTGTGTTCGTGATGCTAACGACAAGAAAAAGCAGCAAAAGCTACCATTTATTCAAGGCTCAGGTTGTTCCAGGCACTGTTACCAGTTTTGGGCGGAATTCGCCTCACTTCACCCTTGGAGCAATTTGGTAAGATGGGTACCATTATTAGTTCCATTTTACAGAAGAGGAAACTGAGGCACTGAGGCAGAGAGATGAAATGAATCCCCAGGTCACACAGCTAACTGTGGTTGGACCTGGCTTTCTGACCTCAGTTCTCTTTTTTTTTTTTTCCCTTTTATCCCTCTTTTTTTTTTTAATTCAAGTATATTTGATTACAATGTTGTGTCAGTTTCTGGTGTACAGCATAGTGATTCAGTTATACCTACATGGATATTTTCTTTTTCATTATAGATTATGATAAGCTATTGAATATATTTCCCTGTGCTAGACAGCAGGAGGGACCTTGTTGTTTATCCATTTGATATATAGTAGTTTGTGCCGAGAAAGACAAATATCATATGATATCACTTATAGGTGAAGTCTGAAGAAATGACTTATTTCTTTACGAAGCAAATGAACTTATTTCAAATACAGAAACGACTCACTGACCCCCAGTCTTAACCATGATGCAGGTGGAGCTGGAGCCAGGGTGGGGGACCTCTGTCGCCCTCGGCTCTCTGAGGGCTGCTCCAGGTGTCTGGTCCTATAGCCAGAGCCCCTTGGCTTGGCCCCTTGGCTTCCTGCCTCTTGGCAGGTCTCACCTGCCCCAGGCTGCCCACCTGCCTCCTTGCCCCTCTCTGGGAGCCCGACTCTGGCTCCCCCTCCTCCTGGCTTCGGGGCGGGGGCTCATTTGAGCGCATCCGAGATCGATGTTGTACACGGGAAGGTGCAAATGTAAAGCGGGCTGAGGAGCATAATAGAATTTATGGAAATCGCTGGCTCGCACCACAGCCCTAGCAATGATGGAGGTGATTATTAATTAATCATGGTCTTGGGGGAACAGTATCAGTGCAAGGAGTAATTAAAATGAAGCATTGTACAGTTGTACCGAATGATGATTTATGAGCCCGAGGAATTGCCGCTCTGCCCTCTCCCTTCCGGCAGGCTCAATGGGAAGGATTAACTGGACGGATTGTTTTCAACAAAACCAGTGGCTTACGGACGGATTTTGATCTGGACATCATCAGCCTGAAGGAAGACGGTCTGGAGAAGGTGCGTGAGCTCAGGCGCGGGAGGGCAGCCCAAGGAGCTGGGAGTCCTTAAATCCCCCATGACAAACCTATCAGAGACCCAGAGCAAGGGGGCAAGATCTGGTCCAACTGTCCCCTCAGGGCTCAGCCTGACCCAATGTGGCCAGTGCCTTGGTCCATCAGAGAACACGAGGCCTTGTCAGACTGGAGTGCTGCAGAACCCAGTGGCCTGGCCACGGCTGATACCCAGACCATCTGAACAGGAGCCATCAGGGATGTTTAATCGGTCAGGGGACAGACAGACTGTCTCTAAGTCCCTGCAGGGCCATCATGGGGCACTGGGACAGACGTGTCCTTGGGTAAGAGAAACTCTCTAATGACCATGGGGTGCCTGCCTGGGGAGTAGTGAGCTCACTGTCACTGGAAGCATTTAAGCAAAGACTGAACAAAGTGATTGCTTGTCTGGGAGAGTGGAGGTGATTCTTACCCTTGGAGAGAGGTTGAAGTGCATGGATTCTGAACTCCCCACCCTAGGCTTCCAAGGCCTCTGTGATTCCAGGGAATTTCAACAAAGAAAGCAGGCCTCCAGGGCTGGGCCTCCCATCTGGCTACCATAGAAAAGGGGCCAGTTCTCGTCCCTGGGAGCCTTCAGCCTAGTCTGACAGAGCCAGGCTGCTGGGCTGAGATGGGGTTTAGCCTTAGCCCCCGATTCCCAGCATCCCCTGGGACCTTGCGGCCAAGCGCTCAGCCACACCCTCTCCCACAGTAGGGTGGCCCCTGGGAGAGGTGGGGATATACAATGCAAGGAGCAGAGGCCGGAAGTGGAGGGGCCAGTTCTGGTGCCCGTGATCCTTCAGAAGCCCTGCATTTCCCTGCTCTTCTCCCCTGCCCTCCCTGGCCCAGGCCCCTTCCTTGGATCATTTTAACACCCCCACCTGGCTTCCCACCTCCACTCCTGAGCCCTCCACCCATCTCGAGTGTACACATCAATGAAGCTACCCAAAGCACAGCTCCACCCCACCCTGGAACTGCGCGTGGCTCCCCAGTGCAGAAGTGTTTGGCATTAGCCCCTCACCCCGGCCTTTAAGGCTCTCCAGGAAATGCCTTACCGCTCCAGGCCTAGTCTCCACTGATCCCTCAAACATTCCTCATGGCCCAGTCATACCCCCTCCCTCTTGCACCTCTGAGCCTGTGCCCACGTGATCACCCAGACGTGGCCTCTGTTTCCTTGGTTCTTTCCCACAGGCTCGGCTTGGGTTGCACTCTGTGGCCAAAGTGATTTCGTTCACTCCTGAGTGTCCCACAGATTCATGGGGCCACTGTGCTGGGGAGGGGTGGCCGGGGCAAGCTCCCCATTCCTCTGCAAGTCTTTCAGGCACATGTAGCATCAGTCCTTTAAGAACAGGCGCTGTGCGCTCTGCTCCCAAGATCATCCAGGCCAGTTGGTCCAACCCTATTCAAACTTTATCCTATCAAGCACTCTGCCAGCTCCTCTTTAAAGTCCCACAGTGCTGGGGAGCCCCTTCCCCCTCTGGCAGGACTCCTCAATAGTTGTCACTCAAGTAGCTGTCTCATTTTTGCTCTCGGCTCTCCATCTCTGGGGATAGCCTAAATTCTAAGGATGGCAATTAGACGACACGTTTACCACCACCTCCCCATCCCGTGCCCATGGCAGGCATCAGTAATTGCCCATCAGAGCACTCTTGCCATCTGAGCCTACCCACTGTTCCCACCAGCCCTCCGGCAGCAGGTACAAATCGACCACAGCTAATACTCGAGCAAACCTCTCTGCTCTACCCAGACACAGGTTGACCTGCTGAGGCCCCACCAGAGGCTCTTGGTCACAGCCAACCGGATTGTGGACAGAGAGCCCCTGAAGGCTGGGTCCTCCTCGATCTAAGTGTTCTCGCAGATCCATGGCACCTGGTGTCTAGCAGGTCCTGCTGTTGGAGCTCAGCAGATGCCTGCTGGGGCGAAGATCCCTGCTGTCCATTTGGCCACCTGCCGGCTGCTTGTTGAGCGCCTCCTGCGCCCAGGCGTGTCGCTAGGGTCCCTCGTGCTGGACGCAGCTCTGAGCTCCGCCCCCTTGAGAGAAGAGCCTCTTTGATGCTGTCAGCTTGTCTCCCCTCCTCATGGCTCTGGGGGGGTCTGCATAGACAGGGATGCTGCCCGGAGAGGGTGCTGAGCCCCCAAACACAGCCGTTCTGCCTCTCATCGCTTCTGTTTGCTAAGCTGGGTCATAGCTGATCCAGCCAGCTCCAGCCGGTGGCTTTGGGAGGATTAAGGCAGAATTACCCAAGCATAATTACATGTCTCTCTGCTATCTGCTTTGCACAGCTCTCTTAATGGGATGTTTGCATTCGGCCTCTCTGTTTAATTGATTAAGTTTCCTGAGTACCCCCACAAATGGGCCAAGGACAGAATGGGCAGGCCAAAACCTTCCTGGAGAGAGAGGAGCTGGGATGGGTGCAGAGCTGGGCAGAGTTGGGTCTCAGAGGATCTTCAGGAGGTCCAGGGCTTTAGGACGATTTGTAAACTTGATCTTCCCTTGCCTCCCTCGAGCCTCAGGCCTGATATCCACAAGGACACTGCAGGGCAGAGATTATGCCACTTCGGCCAGGGGATCTGCCAACTTTAGAAGTAAAACCACAGAGCAAACTGCCTTCAAACCCAGTGGCATCCAACACCCCCAGTGAGGGTTGCCCCGCTCTGTTCTACCATCCCCAGAATAGCTACCCAGACCAGCCTCCTGCCCAGCCTGCCTTCCTGCACATGACACATCTCGTTGTCCCTGTTCTCCTTCCACAGCTGCCTAGTGAACGTCTCCCTTTGCTCCAGGCCCTGTCCTGGGCTTTGGGAGGCATCTGGCCCCAGAGCTGGCACTGGGGCTGAGACCCCGTGAGTGAGCAGCTGGGTGCCCACGTCTGCCCCAGGAAGCGGGATGCTGCCCCAGGCTCGGAATGACTCTGTCCAGGGCAGGACCTGGTTCTGACCCTGACTTTCTCCTGGCATCTGCTCTACCCTAGGCTGGTTTCCACTGTGGTCCCAGGCTGTCTTTATGTTTTACGTTTTCCCTTCCAGCTGTGACGGGTTTCCCAGCAAATGGGGAGGCAGCAGGATTCAGGAGACCCAACACCTTGGACGCTTCCTCTGGGAAGGAGGGAGGCAGCGGGGTTGCCAGAAAGGTTGGCTCAAAAGACATCGGTGATGACAATACTCATGAAGAATGGGAGCGAGACGACCAGCTCATTGGGGTGGAGAAAGGATGGGAGACTGCGGACTCAGCCCCTGTTCTCCGTCTGTCTGTCCATCCAGGTTGGGGTGTGGAGTCCTGCTGAAGGGCTCAACATCACAGAGGTCGCCAAAGGCCGAGGTCCCAACGTCACTGACTCTCTGACAAACAGGTCTCTCATCGTCACCACCGTGCTGGTAAGAGCTGCAGCCCTGTGAAGGGGCTGGAGCTGTGGGCGGGCGGGCCGTCAGGGGTCCCCTACAACCCAACCCAGCGTAGACCAGGCACCTCTTAGGAGGCTGCTGGGAGGCTGGAGGAGGCGGGGGGCTGCAGGAAGGTGGAAACAGTGAGGGTCCCTCAGAAAGCCCCAGAGAGCAATCAGAACACAGCAACACTGCTCACAGCCACAGGAGAGAGACCCCAGAAGGTGACTGTGAGCAGCCCCTTAAGGTCAGAGTGGGCCGGCCTGGGACCTGCTTGGCCAGCTCCTCTGAGGAGGCCTGTGTGTTTACATCTCACCCTCACTGAGCCCCTGATGCCCCAGTAAGAACCGTGATAGGGGAAGGAAGGAGGGTTAACCTGCCCTCCACACCAGGACTCGGGGTCTGCGCCTTCCACTGCAGGGAAGCAGTGGTCCCCCCAAGCCGTGGCAGGTGCTGTGGCCACACCTAGAGAGCCCAGTGGGTGCTGGGAGCCCATGCACGTGCCACCATCCACAGTGTCCCATCCTGAGCACTCTCCCTGCCACCCTACCCACCACTGCCCAGAACTGAATAGTGCTTCCTTCTGACCATTTCAACCCAGGAAACAGATTTTGGGGTCTCCTGGGCTCTGTGCATGTTGGAGCTCAGGGCCAGCAGGACACAGAGGCTGCTGGCCTCCTTTGGCCAGTGCTGTGCCCACTCCATGTGCATCAGCCCCTCCTGGAAGAACTCCAGGGTGTCCAGAGGCTCCAGGCTCACCCTCTCAGAGACTCAGCACTGCTCTTGGGCCCAAGCTGGGTCCTGTGGGGGGAAGGCAGCCCAGTCACAGCCCCGGGGATTCTGACCAAAGACCCTTGGAGGATAATTCTGGCCCTGGACAGCTTCTCCTTATAATAAAGCAAATGTTTGTAAGGACAATGTACTGAGGTCATTCTCTACAAAAAAAAAAAAAAGGTGGGGAGTAGTTCAAGCTGGTTTGTGTTACTCGGATAAAGTAAGGCTGCCACAGGATGGGACCTGGGAGCAGGGATAGTGTGACTCACCGGGTATATGCTCGGTGGCTGGGTGGCGGGCAATCTGGGGGAGGAAGGGATGTACTAGTTAGACTCCATCATCCCCGGAATCCAGGGCACCATCAGCTCGTGAGGAGCAGTTGTAGCCTGTGGTCTCATCCCTAGTCTCACGACTATTTAAATCCATGTTAAAGGTGATGGAGACCTAACAGTTCTGGACATGCTGCTGATGGAGCCAGGATGAGAAGCCTGGGGGGAGATATAGAGCTGCATCCCCACCTTTTGGGAGTAAGACTGCCCCACCGGCATCTTCTCTGAAACCATATGTCCTGCCTGCCTTCATTGATTGACCGTTTGTTAACTAAAAAAATAAATAAATATCAGGCTAAAAACCAGTAAGTCAAAAGATCTCATCAAAAATGGAAAAGAAATATTTGAAAAATTTAAAGATTGAAAATAAAAAGACATAAATAAAAAGAGCAAAGGGATGAGAATGAAGAATGATGAGCAATTAAAGGAATATTGATGTCGATAAAAATAGAAAAGATAAAAGGAGAGTTGAGAGAGGGCAAAATAGAAAGGTTAAAAGGAAAATAAGAAAGAGAAAAATGAAAATAAGGGATGAGATAAAAAGGAAAGCTATCATGAGAGACGAAAAATTAAAATAAATAATTAACAGCCCTGGCTAGAGAAGGTGAAAAATGTAAAACCAAAATGTCAGAAAGCAAAAGGATAAAAGTGTGACAAAGCTAAAATATAAAAGGGTAAAAATAAAATAATAAAAAGGTGGTAAAAGATTAAAAGCAGAGCTGCATAAAATGTGAGATATAAATAAAACACTTTGCAGAAGCCAAGATTAAAAAAAAGGTGAAACTAGTATGCTTGGAGAGATTAGGGGAGATGATTAAATGGGCTGGGATGATTCAGCCATAGAACAATACTCCAAGGGTAAGAGGGGAGCTAAAGATAATCTACCAAAGAATGCAAAATACACACCTTCAAAGACCACAGGGTTAAATTTTTATTAAAATGGCAGCAGCCTGATTTCAAGGGCATAAACCCTTCTGTAAACCCGCAAGGGATTTTTCTACATCAGCAGAGGCAGAACTGTGAAGACATCCTGTGCTATTCTCATAGCTTCTTGGTCAATTCTGGAAACTTCTTGCAAAGGCCTCGACCTGCTGCACTCAGTTGCTCACTGGGAGTCCTCCCTGCACTGCAGCATCCCTCTGGCTCTCAGCATCCCAGGGGAGAGGGAAGGAAAGAAGTCCCTCTTGGCCCGCAGCCTGGGCACAGCTCCATCTGTCCCACCACTCGCCATCCAGGCAAACATGAGCCCAGCTGCCCTTGAGGACATGCAATTGTGACCAGGACACAGGGGCCAGACTGTGGGATGGTTAAGAGACTCAAACCGGGTCTGAGTCCTGGCTTTACTGTTCACTAGCTGTAGGACCCTAGAAAACTGCTTAACTGCTCTGTGCCTCCGTTTCCCCACCTGAGAAAGAGAGGTGGTAAATAACTGTGCTACTTTATGGAGTTGAGAGGATGTACTGATGAATAGAAATAAATGGCACAGAGCTTGTGTGGTCTAAGTCAGAGCTGCTGTTGTTATTGATTACAGATCCAGTCCCCAGTAAGCACAGGTTTAAGAAAATAAGCAGAATGAGAGTTCTAGAGAAAACCCCACCTTCCATCCTCAAGCAGAGCCCCGAGCATCACTGAAGACTGACCCCTGACCATGGTCACAGAGGTTACCTCTGTCTAGCACTGGGTGCATTATAAACTTTGAGCTTGTATTTTTTTTAATTGAAGTATAGTCGATTTACAATGTTGTGTAAATTTCTGGTGTACAGCAAAGTGATTCAGTTTTATATATATATATATATGTGTGTGTGTGCGTGTGTATGTATTCCTTTACATAATCTTTTTTATTATAGGCCGTTATAAGGTATTGAATATAGTTCCCTGTACTATACAGTAGGACATTGTTGTTTATCTATTTTATATATACTAGTTAGTATCTACAAATCCCAAACTCCCAGTTTATACCTTCACCCTCCCCACTTTCTTCCCTGGCAACCATAGATTTGTTTTCTATGTCTGTGAGTCTGTCTCTGTTTTGCAAATAAGTTCATTTGTGTCCTTTTTTTTTTTAGATTCCACATATAAGTGATATCATATGGTATTTTTCTTTCTCTTTCTGGCTTACTTTACTTAGTATGACAATCTCCAGGTCCATTTATGTGATTACAAATGGCATTATTTTATTCCTTTTCATGGCTGAGTAGTATTCCATTATATAAATATACAACAACTTCTTTATCCAGTCATCTGTCAATGGACATTTGGTTGCTTCCATGTCTTGGCTATTGTAAACAGTGCTGCTGTGAACACTGGTGTGAGCTTGTATTTGAATGCCTTTCAGGCCTGGCTCACCACAGAACCTATCACTCCCTATTGTTCACACTTGGCTACTTCTTATACAGATGTTTCCCGACTGATCCCTGAAAATATTAGAGCTTGTGACCTCCTGAGCCCCTCATAGCTCTAATCTCCTACTGATATTTTAAACTCCACATCCCAGCTACCACCTCATCCCCTGCCTCTACCAAAGTCTGAGCCCCTGGCCCTGCCATCATGGTAGTTCCCTACCCCTGGACTCTTATGCCTTGACCTCCGACATAGCTGCTGACCCACATGAAGCAGATGTCCCTCCAAACATCTTAACCCCATTAAGCAGTGTCAGATACTCACATGGTCTGGGAGTGACCCATGATTCAGCTGTCTCCTTCCCCCCTGCACAGAGAGCACGGAGGGTTGGGTCTGAAGAAGCCCAGTCTTTCCGGGGGGGACAGAGCAGGGACAGAGGGTGTGACACACAGCCTTTACACTAGTCTCCAAGAAACTCTCTGTGTCCAGCTGAAAATGTCCTTAGAGTCTTATGAAAGTCTCAGCATGGTCTGCTTGTCCCAGAGCCCTGGATAGGGGTGGGGAGATTGTCTCAGCTTGGGCTCTCCGGACTAGTTACAGGGTGTGGCCCAGCCTGGCCCAGCCCAGCTGCTCTGGCTGAAAACCCAACCCCAAGCCTGGCAGCCTGAAAGCAGAGCCAGCACCTCCTGGGAGAGCGCTGGCCCCTGCCTGTCTGGAAGCGTGTTGTCAGGGCAACAGCGCTTTGAGTGGCAGGCAGGTACCAAGCCTGAGTACAGGAACATCCACCAGTTTTGCCTCTGGAGAACAGGGCTGGACCCAAGGCTCTGATGAGAGGGGTGTCTGTTCCTCTTTTTGTCTCTGGAATCTGGGTGTGGCAGAGAGCACAGGGAGATGTGTGGGCTGCCCCTAAGGCCCCTCCCTTCTCCCCCATCCTGAATCCCCAACATAGGGGCCAAGGGTGCATTACCCTGGACACACAGATAGACAGAGCCTGGACCCCGCCCTCTCTGGTCCCTCAGCCACAGTTTCTTTCCCATTCCTGAGGCTGAAGCAGCAGCAGTAAGAAACTGGAAATCTGCCCTCCCCACCCTCTTTCTGCCTAGCCCCAGCCTCTGTTCAGGTTCCGCTCTTCCATGAGCTCATGAAAAATTCATCTGCCCAAAGCTCAGCTCACACACTGAGAAAACACACTCAACTCACTCCTGAGGGGCCCTGATTTGGCAGGTTCGGGCTTCTTGGGGCCGCTGGAGTGAGTAGCAGTGTCAGCACGTATGTGGGCACCTGTGCAGATGTGGGACTGGCTGTGCACAGGTGTCTGGACACGCAGCGATGGGTGTGTTTGTGCCATGTGCACATTGTGACCCATTTGGAGTCAACTGCCAGGAAGGCCGGACCTGCATACCCAGCACAGGGGAGGGGAAGGCTAAGGAGGCCAGGCTGGGGGCTGGGAGGACCACCCCAGGCTGGGGACCACTCTGGGCCCCACCTGCTGGGACGACTGGACTCCTAATGCTCTGTCCTGGTTCTGAGTGGCAGCAGCCAAGCCCTGGGGGCCAGGGTCCTTGGCCTCTGTCCGAGCAGGGCAGAACATCCGAGAATACAGCGTATTCGTGCCAGGGGTGTTGTGCGCACACACATGCACGCGTGTGTGGGTGTGTGTTAAGACAGCCTAAGCCGGAATGGGGCTTGGGAACACAGCTCTTAGGTAGCTAACCCTCGGCTCTTCCTCAAGAGCCCCTCTTCCAACTCCACAGGTCCCATCGCTGGGAGAAGCTTAGCGTCAGGTGTGGCTCTCACGTTGGCGAAACTAGACCAAGAACCCTGGCGATGAAAAGTCAGAAAAGGTTATTTTTCCGGACCCCTGTTTCCTGCGACTTGTTGCAGAGAAATATTACCCCTGTTCTTCCGGCTGTTCTCCCAGAGCAATAGGAGAGCGTGAAGTTATGAAATTGAGGGCACCTTCACTGAGCAATCGATTAGCAGCCGAGAGAGCTTGTGAATTGGCTGTCTGGACATTTCCAGTAATAAATTGTGAAATAGTCCATGAATAAGTAGTTGGCGGAGTTCAGAATTACCCCCTAGGAAATGTTGCAGGTCTAGAGACACATTACTAAGGCGAGCACCATTTTAATGCTCTGGGCTTTGGCTGTTAAATATGTATGCCATCCGCAAAGCACTTCCCGAAATTAATGGCATTTTACAGCTGCTCCGAAGGCAGTGTATTTATATGGAGATGTATAGATTCTGGGCCTGTGGTGGCTTCACAAATGAAGTGCTAATTTTAGAGGAAAGGGCCAGGAGGGGCTCAGAGGCCGGGTCAGGAAGTGAGCCATCACAGGGACCTTCCCGGAAATAGTACTGCACTCCTAGCTGCGACTTTTAACCTTTGGTGACACTGGGCATGGTCTCTAGGCTGGAAAGGTCACTGCAACAACAAGCCACCCAGTTCACAGAAGGATGATAGCGATATTATTGTTAATAATAATAATATAATGCAATTTACATTTGCCAGGAACTGTTCTAAGTGCTTTCCACAGACTGATTCATCTAATCCTCACAACAACCCTGTCAGGTAGGTTCTATTATTATCCCCATGTTACAGAAGGAGATAGATTTTGCTCAGAAATCTATGTGTGGTTCGTGATTCTCCCAGCAAAGAAGGCATCTTCTCTCTAATTCTTTCCTTGAGCTAACATCAGGGCCACCAGGTGCAGTGGTGCAGTTCGTTCACTGCACAAGAGCATCTGACCTAACAGATGAGATGGGATTGAAACCCCACCCAGGCCCTGTCACCAGACCCCGTGCCAGGGTTCCGGGCAGCACCTTCCCAGAGGCTAATTGGCACAAAGGCAGCGTACACGCTAGCCTAAGTCCCCTTCCTCCCACGTAGTCCCAGCACCTTCCCCACCCCCTCCTGGACTCTTTACTCCAAACTTGTGAGCTGTCTACTGGGATGGGAGGCACTGAATTTAGCATAGTGTCTAGCCAAAGGACACAGCTTTCCGCCCAATTAGACTGAGAAGTGGTTTTCTCAGAATCCCTAGAGAGGTGGGAACCCCATGGGGATTCAGACACTCCCTTGCCCTTTCTCTGAAGCATCCCAAAGGACTGCTGAAAATCTAGAGCGAATCAGTGAGAGGATAGGATGTGATATTGAGAGGTAGCGTTGCTGGGGAACCAGGGCCAGAGAATCAAGTCTGCCTGCCACTGCGGGAGCTAGGCAAGAGGCTGCCAGTGGGTTTCTGCACCCAAGGATCCCCGTTCTACCCCTGGTGAGGGCCCTTCACTGCTCATCTGGCTCCAGCGGCCCACAGAGGAATGGCCCCGCCAATTGAGACAATGATGAGGCACTTCCAGGCACACGTGCATTCTGTCAACTAATGGTTGTCACTTATCAGCTGAAGGCTTGAGGCATTCTGACATGTGGGGGTGCCGAGGTGGCTTGGGGGAAGGTTACACCCCAGAAAGAGGCCAAGGAGCTACAGACAGGAAGGACTGAACCTGGACTCCATCAGACTATAGTTCAATTCCTGTGTGGTTTTGGAAAACTTACTGACCTTCTCTGAGCCTCAATTTCTTCATCTATCAAATGGGGATAATGTCACTTGTCTTGGAAGCTTGTGAGGCTTAAATCGAACAGCTGTGATTTAAATCAGCATATAGTGCATAGTAGGAACTCAATAAATGGTGAGTTTGCTGCACATTCAGCCCACGCACTGAAGTTCCTTACTCTGTTTTATCTCAGACTGGATGAGATCAGTTGCTTCTTTCCATCAGTTTCCTGCCTCTCCTCCTAGTTATTTTTTGCAGGCTTGCCAAGGGTTATTTTTAAATGAGAAATCAGACCGAGTCGTGCCCTTCCAAAGCCCTTCACAGGCTCCCCATCACCTGGGAAAGAGGGAGCCTGATGTGGGGTCACTGTCGCCTGTGCGCTGGACCCACAAGCCATCTTTGAGGACCCCCTGCCCCCTAGGGAGAAGCACCACGTGACTCAGGACCCCTGGCGCAGTAAGGAGTTAAGCGCTCCCACTCTGGGGCCACACCAGCCTGAGTTCAGCTCCTCTCTTTCTGCTAGCTGGGTGGCCTCCTGTGAAGTCACCCACCCTTGTGAATCTACTTGCTGCGTCTAGAGAATGGGGTTCTAGTATCTACCCCCGGAAGGTTGAGATGAAAGTTAAGTGAAGCAATATAGCTACACTCCAAGGAGCCCTCTGGCTCTGCTGGGCTCTGCTGGGCTCGGCGCTGGGCCCTCCACAAGCACTGTCTCAGCTGCTGACTTATTAATGCCTGGCACATCCACCTAGTCATGCAGACTGTCAAAGTTAGCAGGAGTCACTCACTGGCAGATCCTAACACTGGGGACTAGATCCTTGGCAAGAGAGGAAGGTTATCAGGGCACCTGTAGATCTAGTCTTTTAAAACAGGAGGTTGGGGAGCAGTCAGGGAGGAAACGAGAAAGGGCCTTCTGCAGCATTTGAGCAGACCTCAGAATCTCCTGGAGGGCTTCTTAAAAATGGTGGCTGGGCCCCATCCAAGTTTCTGGTTCAGTAGGTCTGGGTGGGGCCAGAGAATGTGCATTTCTTACAAGTTCCCTGATGATGCTGCTGGTCCAGGGACCACACTTTGAGAACCATTAGCCTGTGTGGTTGGTGCAGCAGAGACAGCATGAGATTCAGAGTCACAGTCTTGAGTTCAAAGCCCTGTTCCACCAGCTCTGTGACCTGTGGACAATCAAATCAGTAAGGACCTACTGAGTCCCGTGGGCACGTCCACAGGTGGCTGTCGGTGAGGCACAAAGTTGGCCCTTTCCCTCTTCGGTTTTTTTTTTAAGTACAGTTTATTGACAATGTTGTGTTAGTTTCTGGGGTACAGCATAGTGATTCAGTTACACATGTATATGTATTCTTTTCCATATCCTTTTTCATTATAGGTTATTACAGGCAGGCCATTCTTACGAGCCACTCCAAAGATGGCTTAGAACATCCTTGCAGAAGACCCAGCCCAGGCTCTGTGGCCCAGCTGGCCTCGCCTTCATCACTCCTCTCCCATCTGTCCCCACAGGAGGAGCCCTTTGTCATGTTCCGGAAGTCTGACAGGACCCTGTTCGGAAATGACCGATTCGAGGGCTACTGCATCGATCTGCTCAAAGAACTGGCCCACATCCTGGGCTTCTCCTACGAGATCCGGCTGGTGGAGGACGGGAAATATGGGGCACAGGACGACAAGGGCCAGTGGAACGGCATGATCAAGGAGCTTATCGACCATGTAAGTGGGGCAGGAACATGGTGGGTGGGGGGAGCTGAGGACCCACTCCCTCCCTGGGAGGCTTGGCTATCGGGGGTGGGGGACATCCTGGCAGATGGGGTTCCTGGGGCAAGGGAGATGGAGATAGAGTCTGTGACTTCAAGCCTGACTTGTTCATGCTCTCCGACTCCTAGATGTTCCCCTCTATACAAGCACACATGCACAGGCCCCTGTATGACTCAGAACCATCCCCACTGGTGTCTTGGATGAGCTTGCTCTGGAAGGGTCCCCCCACCACCACCACTGCCTTCTACTCCCTTAAGAGCTACAAAAGGATGCTCCAGCCCTGAGGGCGAGGTATCAATACGAAATAGTTCACCAAACTGTCAGACACAGGCAACTGTCACTGCCGTGGGTCCAGGGGGAAGACAGCTGGTCCAAGGAGCTGAGGACTGGGATGAAGGGGATGAGCAAGGCTCAGGACATAGGTACCAAGGAGACTCATAACTCTGCTTGAGATGGGGGAGGACCCAGGAAGCACGAAGCCACAGCAGGCAGGTGGGGCTTTCAGGAGAGGGAGCAGCTGGTTGGAGGGCCCTGGGAGGAAGACAGAGAGAAGCCACAGTCTAGGGACACCCCAGCATGGGGGAGTCAGGAGGCCCTGGGTTCGAGTCCTGGTTCCTCATTCATTGGCTATGTAAACAGGAGAAAGTCGCTGGACCTCTGTAAGTGCTTTCCTCATCTGTCTGTCGAATGAGTGCTAATTCGCTCTTTCTCATGGGCTTGTTGTGGTCCTGGTCAGGAAGCACCAGGCGCAGGGCACGGCCCACAGCAAGCGCTCTGTAAGAGGGGGAACTCGTAAGATGCTGTAAAGACACACATCACAGTATTTAGGAGCCCAGGCTCTGGTTCGATAGACCTGGAGCTCAAGTCCCAGCTTTACCAACTAAGAGATACATAACTGGGCAAGTTCGTCAATCCCGCTGAGCCTTAATTCCTTCACTTCTAAAACCAAAAGAATTAACAATTAGGACAGTTCCTACAGTTGTTGCGGGAATTAAGTGCGGTGACATCTGAACAGGCTCACGTGGCAAAAACTCAACATTACCTGCCTTCCAGCTCGGGCCCCAAAACTTTCCAAAAGCATTTTCCATCAAAGATCTGCTCACACATGCAAGGACCTGCTCTGTACCTGACCCCTCAGATTCCTTCTCTCGTTTATCCTTACAACCCAGTGAGGCAGGCACTGTTACTACCACCCATTTAACAGACAAGGAGGCTGAGGCAGAGAGAGGTGCAGGGTCCCAGCTAACAAGCAGTGGAGCCGGGGCTTCAGGGTTCTTTGGAGGCTCTCTGCTTCTGCAGCCCTGGGCTCCACCCTCTGCAAACAGCTATCTGACCCCAGGACCCAGGGCAGAGGGAGGTTCGTGCAGGTAGTCTTTGCCGTCTGAAAAGCACTGGCTGAAAGGATTATCATCACCTTGGTTCTCCAAATGCAGGCAGGCAGCAGCGGGGCCTTCTTCCGGTAGCCTTCCTGCCCCTGTCGGAGGGGAGCTGGGAAGGGAAGGAGGCTGGAGCTCAGAGCAAGAAGACCCAAGCAGAGCCTTACCGGTGGAGTCATATCCTAGGCCCCAGGAAACGAGGCCGCCAGGGAAGGCTAGTGGGAGAGGCTAATGGTAAAGAGCATGAACTTGGGCTGAGCTTGACCCCTGCTCTGCCACTTCCTAGCTGTGTGCTCCCAGACTAGTTTCTTAACCTCTCTGTGCCTCAGTTTCCTCATCTGTAAAATGGGAATGGTAATAACAGTGCCTCCCCCATAGGCTGTCGTGAGGACTAAGTGAGCTCACATATGTGCGTTCCACAGCAGCGTGTCAGTCCTTGCTCTTATTATTTTTATTTGTATATGTGAGCTCTTAATAAGGCTCTTCCTTTGAGACTGGGGAGGGGGCTTCAGGAAGTCCCTTTATCTCCCTGAGCTCACTTCCTAACTCAACAGCGAAAATAATGATACCTGCCCCGCGTTCTTCCCAGCTGGTTGCTGGAGGTGAGGACGGGGTTGGGGGGAAGCAGCTCCTAGACTGCGGAATTCAGTATAAACAGGAGGGAGTGGTGTTGCCACCGATATTAGTAATAACCGTAATTATTATGGAAATTAATCAGCAGGCCCCAGAGGTATCTCCATTTATCGACTCCCCACCAAGCTTTATTAGTGGGGCTCTGGAGCATGGGACTCCAGGTGGGTTCTGAGCCTGTGGTTTGCAGAGGTGAGCTGGGCTGGGGAGAAAGAGGGAATCTCACGGAGAGTGGAGGCTACGTGCAGGAGTGAACAAGGCTGACACCAGTCTTGCCACCCACAGCATCTCCAGCAGCCCAAGAGCTTTAAGGAGCCATTTGCAAGAGGGGTGGGCTGGATCAGAGAAGCCAGCAACAGCCAGATCTTCTAAACTGCCTCTCAGCTGGAGAAGAGAGGGGCCTCATCCATAGCCTCCATGCAGCCCCGTATCCATCAAGACCATGGGCTCCGACGGCACATGCGGGGGACCTTGTTAAACCCGATCCCCTACAATTGATGAGCCTATTAATCCTAGCTTGGTGCCATTTTTAATAACATCATAACCATTTATTAGTGTCGTCAGATAATTAGTCTCCTCACTAGCTCATAGAAAGCGTGGTAAAGGCTTGGCAATATTATTACTTCCTTATTAGGGATCTGAACGTAGATGTAAAAATGATGAATGCTCACCTTTGCAAGAATCTGCCCCCTGAGGCCCATTTGGAGGCCCTGGGTGAAGCCTCTGACCAGCAGGACTTAAGAAGTCCTTCCCTGACACTCTCTGCTCGTCTCTGTCCTGGGCCACAGGTCATCCAAGGAGCCAGGGTTCGGGGGGAGGAAGGAGCACCTAGAGGGTGTGTCCCCCTCCTGCTCACACACTTGCCTTCCCCCGGGTTGCCTCAAGAGCAACAAAGGTGATTAGACAGAGCAGTGATTTCTCCATCCATCACCCGATCTCTCTCCCAGATCGTCACTCTCTCAGTTTTGGTTGCCTGCTCCCTCTCACTGCCCCCTCTCAAAAGTCTCCTACTCACAGCCATGCTTTAAATTACTCCCAGGTGTTTCAGTGACTTTGGCATCCAATAGAGATGGGTTCAAAATCAGGGTCTAGCACATTTCAGCTGACAGCGGGAAAGCTATTCAATCTCTCTGGCCTCCATTTCCACAGCTAGGAAATGGGAATAATAAAAAAGCCTTCTGCCCAGGGTTCACGGTAAGATTTAATGGGATACAGCACAAAACTGCTTAGCAGAGTGTCTGGCACTCAGGAACTGCTCAGCACATGGGCACCGTCCTGCTCCTCACCCCTCCGTCCAGTCTAAAGTGTGTACATGGGTGAATGGGATGGTGGTGGGAGAGTCATCTCCTCGGCCATGGTCATCCTCGTGGGCCACAGTGATCCGGGGTCTGGACCTTGCTCCTCTGAATCCTAAAAGGAGGCTCAGGGGACTGACTCACTTTGATCAGACTCACAGGGAACTGAGGCACACACGGAGGCATCACCCCCTTACTTCACTTGGGGCACTGACCTTTCCTGACACCTGCCATCCAGAGCTTCTGTTCTGGAACCAAGTGCCCAGAAGCCTACTGGGGAGGCTGGAGGCAGAGCCCTACATGTGGGAAGCCTGAAGCCAAGAGGAGAGGCTGCTGCTGGAGAAGGGAGCAGGGGACAAGCCTTGAGGAGCCTTGGGTACTAAAGTGAGGAATTTGATTTCAATCCCGAGAGCAATGAAAGATGTAGAGCAAGGGGGTGACACAAGATTGACACTTGAGGAAAGCCGTTGTGCTCCTGGGCTAAGCTGGAGCCAGTCCAGAGGCATCGCTGGGACCCAGGTGATGGTGAGCATGGTGGCCTCAGAGTGCTATGGTCAGAAAGGAGGGGAGTAGATGGCACGGAATGAAGACAAGTAGGTAGAATCGATGAGATTGGTGATTGGTTGGGTGAAGGAGGTGAGGGTAAGGGAAGACCAAGGGTGAGGTGCGAAATTCTAGCTCAGACAGCCAGGGAGATGGTGGCTTCATCCCCCGATAAAGAACCTCTTGGAGAAGCAGAAGATTCTGGAGAGGTAAGGGGTTCATGTTGGGACTGGGGACCCAGGAGACAGCTGGCCATATGGCTGGGCACTCAGGGGAGGGAGCAGGGCTGGAGGCTGAGATTCAGAGTCATCATCACAGCCTCAGAAGGAATCTTGGGACCCAGAGACAGAGGCAGGAATGCTGGGGAAAGAAGAGCTAAGGACCTGGGCGGGACCCTGCATGGCACAGAAGTGTGAGGAGGGCATGAAAGGAGGCCTCAGCAAAACGCCTGAGACAGCAGGTCAGAGAGAAAGGAGGAGGGCCAGGAGAGTGTGGGTGACAGAGGCCGAAGGGGGAGAGGCTGCCGGGAAGGCATGGACCCAGGCTCTCAGGCAGCAGGTGGGCAGGTTGAGGGAGGTGAGGATGGAACAGCATCCACGAGTTGGCATGAATGTGATCTCCTGGGGTACAGGGTGGGCCCCAGCACTAGCTCCTCAAGCATCCTGGCCTGGCCTCTTGCAAACTTTGTTCTCTGTGATGCAGGAGGCCTGTCCAGGCCCTCGAACAGGGGAGGAGAGGGAGCCGGGGGCCTGACCTCAAGGGGAGGCACGAGTGCCCTCCAGGCCCCAGGAAGCTGCTAGTTCTTTTATCTCGAAGTCGTCACATCTCACTGTAGCGTGTAAGGCGGTTTCCCTGGTTCATAAATGGGGCTGGACCAAGACGGGGGTGGAACAAGCAGGAGACAATGAGTGGTATGTCATCTCTTCCCCTGTGAAAAGACGTAATGCTGTCCAGATGTCCCCTCTGCCTCCCTGTAACACCAAGAGCAGAGCAAAGAGGGTGGCACAGCTGGAAGGGCCCATTACCCCTACCTGACTCTTCTTCCAGACAGAAAGTGCCTTTGGACCACACTGGCTGCTGCCAGCCCTGGGCATGCGGCGGGGCTCACGGA